TGGCAAATGGCATCACAAAGAAAACAGATGTTGAAAAAGGGATGACCCTCTTCCCAATGGCCATTTAAATTTTTATTTATTTATTTATTTTTTCAATTGTATCATCATTCAACTCTTTTTGCATTTCCAAGCCGCCGCATCCACTACCATATAATATATACTTTTATAGTTTAATGAATTGTCACACAACCACCCACATTATCACACACTTTCTTATTCTTTTTTCTCTCTCTTCTTCTCAATGAAATTATATGTCGGGATGTAAGCGGTTTGATTCGGGTTCAGTTTTGTCCAAAACTAATGTTGAAATGGATTTTTTCTAATTAATAAGTGGAACCAAAAAAGAAAAAATGACAAATTGATCACCAAAGTGACCAAAACTGAATTGAGGAGACTTGTTAATGCTGTTTTCCGTGGAGTTCACAGGTAACCTTGCTAACGAGGACGAGCTGTCGAGGTGCTAACAAGTGAACCTGTATAGGGAACAAATACTCCGACGCCCAAGTTAGTTGCGAGCTTGAGTTGTTTAAGTCATTCTCATAGGAAATCGCGTACCTGATCAATGGGGTCGAGTGTCCCTTTTATAGACAGGTGGAGGAGACAAGACCGTTGGGCTATTGCGATTAGCGATTACGGCTGTCGGACCCCAAGTCGGTGGTCAGTCCTGAAGTCGAATTCCTCAAGTGGGTAAGTGTATCTCCCGTTATGTCAGCTCGGTATGGATCAGGTCGGCGGATACTGAATCCGTTCTGATTACTTCGAACTAAGTTCATGCTTACGCGTCTCAAGTTTGATTTTGACCACCAACAATACTAAAATTGATAAAATTTATCTAAAGCAATATGATGGATAATTTTTCAATTTTGTCCAAGTAAAATCACGACGCAATTCGATGTGCGGAAAGAAGTAGAAAAAAAAACGAATGGTTGAAAATCTCTCACATCTACCATCCCACTAAGTCTCTTTGATTTGAACTTTATGAATATGATTGAGTTGTATTACTATTTTGTAAAAGGTTAAACAAGAAGTTGAGAATGGTATTTGAGAGTATACGTAACTTAAATGATTAAAAATCATATTCTAAACTTCAAGTATCGATTAGAAATTAGATATGAGTTTTAGTGACTAAATATGTAACTTTTCATACTTTAAAGACCAAATAAAAATTAAATTCAAATACTAGACACACCCAATTTTAAAAATTCAAAGAATAAATAGAAACCAAGTCAAAAATCTTATAAACTGGAAAATGTTTATGGTGAGTTCTGGAGAAGTCTACGTGTCTTTCGAACACGCTGTCATCGGACGAATGAGTCTACAACAATGATCCTCAACACTAGTGCAGTGTCTTGTTTAATAATCTCCGACGGTCAAATTAATAATCGCGAGAACTATAGTAAAGAATATCTTAAAAAATTAGTGACAGATTTTCACTTGCCCCATAGTCATAGTGGTTCTTCCTTTTTATAGGTGTTTATGACTGACCAGGAAGAACATTTCATACGTAGGTGGTGCTCGTTGTCGTACGAGATTCTAACAGATAGAAAAGGATATTCCTAAAGCGTAGTGGTCGTACTGCCGTTGGCCACCCTATCCCCCTACAAGCCGTGTCATGCCTCCCCTACATAAGAGGCATGCAGCCCTCGTCCTCCTTTGACCGTACGCTCTATATAGTCTGCAATCCCACTACCAACTGTCATCTCTCAAGTCTGACATGTCACCTGTTCAGATTTCACCTCAACAAAACAATATGGTCTGTCTCCATGGATTTTGTTAGTTTGAGTAGAAAGTATACAATTACACCCATTTCCTCCTCTGGGCTAAGCTAGCCTTCTACTTACTTTTGGTATAGAGATTTTGATGAAATAGAATAAATGCATATTGAATATTACCACCAACAAAAGTGAACCATTTTAAACAATCAAAGACCATATCTTTTGAAATATTTCGTTCCCCTTACCTACAGTTAGAAACTCTATATATGCCTCTACTTTATTAATTAATAATTAAGTGAAAGGCATGCTTTGATTTACTCGTTCTTTCTTCAACAAATTAAAGGAATAAGAAGATAAAGTAGAAGGAAAGTAACACAAGGAATACCCAAAGGACCAAATTTTTATTGCTAATCTAAACGTGTAATTTAATGAGTAAGACAATTCTATATTTAATTTATTAGGGTTGGCTATTAAGTAAGTTCAAGATTCGAAATATACTTTTTAAATTCTTTCTGGTACATCAAAATGTATAGAATTGTCAGTTACATTGTTCGGTACTCAATATAATATATTCTAAAGAATTAAAGAAAAAAAGTTTCCATCGAAATTCAAACACACTCGTTTCATTGATTTACATCTCTTGGGGACAAAATTTATGAGACAAATCAAAAC